GACCGATCAGTGTAGGCCTGTCACTGTTTAGCGGGGTAGCAAAGGATCTCTTGAGTGAACGAGTGCTCCCGACAACTAAAACGACACGGGACCAGCATCAGCAGTGGGTGATCAGTTCTTACCACTCCCGTGCACAACCCCACATGTCCCGAGCAGCTAGTGAAACCCTCTTGCTAACGGGAAGCTAAAGTTCTCTCAACTGTACAAGGTCTGATTGGCTCACTCCCATCCGCTTTATGGACGCACTGGGAGTACACTGAGGCTATCTGAGTAAACTAATGGTCACACACTGAGACCGTGAGTCTAGGTCTCTAGGAGATACCTAGAGGAACATTTTCCCTCCCTTATTACGGGTGTAGTTAACACCATTCCTCAGACTGATATTGTCTTGACGTGTGTAGTTTAATAGTTTCTAAATAATTTTGATAATATTGTTTTGAATGTTTGTGCCATTAAGTGGAACCAGAGTGATACTGTGATTTGATTCTTTTAATGCCTCTAATTGTTCTTCATAATTCTGATCTCAGGTATAACCTTGTTCCCCAGAGTAGTGGTTAGGTTAGGTTAGGAAGTGTACATCTGTTGGGGTGCTATAATTTTGTTGAGTGCCCTTAAGGCCTATTCATTGTAGAGTATTTAAATTCTTATATTTTATTACCATTCCTCAGTGACTGATATTATTTTGTTGAAAACCCTTAAGGCCTATTCATTGTGGAGTATTTAATTTCTTATTTTTTAGTACCATTTCCTAAGTGACTGATATTATTTTGTGAAAGCCCGTAAGGCCTGTTCATGTGTGCAATTAACATTTCTTAATACTTCAAATTTATTGTTGCCTGTGTTTCTAATAATTTCTATGTCATTTATAACTTTTATTCCCCAGAGTAGTGTTTTAAGTTTAAGTTAAGAGGTGCGCATATTGGTGTACCATTATTTGATTGTGTTTGTAGTGTTGGAGGGAATATAAGTGTCTAAATTTTACAGTGTGTCTCATTCATTCCAGTCACAGACGCTATCCTTCCACGGGTCACGGACAGTTCATTTTGTGTAGTAGATTTAAGTGTTCTTGTGCTGGTTCGGGATTTTTCTCAAAGGGGCGCTTCCACTGCCATTACCATCTATTAAATTTTAATAAACCCCAAGTCAAGTGAGAAATTAAAGTCCAGCAAATTCCGACCGGTTACATATATATATACATATATATATATATACATATATATATATACATATATATATATACATATATATATATATACATATATATATATACATATATATATATATATACATATATATATATACATATATATATATATATATATATATATATATATATATATATATATATATATATATATATATATATATATATATATATATATATATATATATATATATATATATATATATATATATATATATATATATATATATATATACAGACTGCTAATCTAACACTGTTAACGTAATTTATTAATCTAACTGCCTTCCATATGATCTTCAATTGGTTAACTGAAAAAATTGTTAATCAAGTTCTACTAACCGATTTCAACATGTTTTCTGCACTGACCGCAACTAGCTTTAGTATCAGTCCGCCAACACATTAATCGTTCTAGGGCTTAAATTCTTACTATTTTAGTAAATATCAAAGTTTATATTATTCAATAATTTTAAAATATTCAATTTTTAGTCATTTTAACAATTATTGAACATAATTGAAGGAAGTGACTAGTTTAATGCGCCATCCAGCCTCTTAACACAGCAAACAGGAGTTAGTCTCTGTTTTCACTGGAGGTAACATCTTGCTTGAGACTCTTCTTCAACTAAACGCTTTTTTTGTGTGTTTCCAAGCAAATTATTGATCATTTTGAAATATATTTCATATTGACAATAAATAATGCAGTGCAGTGTTGATTTAAAGAAAATAATCTTGAATTACACCAAGAGAGCTAAAATTTATGGGTGAATGGCGCCATGGGTGACTCTTCTTCCACCCCAATGTCTCTTTCTTTCCTTCTCTCCACCCCCATTCTAAATCCTATCATCATCATCATCATCCAGGAGCCTTCTACATACAAACCTCAAAGTAAGTGAACTTTTCTACCATTTTTGTTGAATTTAGGAAATTTCGGTGAGCTGGAACCAATACCTAAAAACCCATTGAAACAATGGTTTCAAGAGCCGGTTAATCTAACGACCTTCGAACGGATTGAGTCGAACCGAGGTTACTGTATATATATATATATATATATATATATATATATATATATATATATATATATATATGCTGATAACCACAAGGAAAGAAGAAAACACGAAGTTCCCAAGCGCTTTCGTGTAATTCACATCTTCAGGGGTGAGTACAGACTAGAGAGAGTAATACAAATCAAAGTGTATATATACAGAGGAGGGTGAGACCAGGTCCACATTGGTCAGGTATTAGGTAATGACCCTACTAATCTTTAAATAGCACACAACGGTTGGTGGTCAGGTCAGATGGTCAAGTGACCCGGCCTTCTCACCTGATCACAAATCTTCTTAATTACAAAATTGTCCAGCTTGTACATGCCGTTACTCAAATTCATGTTGAATGCTTCGGTATGTTTAATAAGACTAGATTCTATGATGTTCCTACTGTCAATTGACTTACATGGTAATATTGAGGAGGCATTATCCCAGTCAATGCAATGCTTGTTATCCCTCAAATGAACAAACAGAGCATTGGATTCCTGGCCTGTCCTAACACTGTATTTGTGTTGTTTAATTCTAGTTGCAAGATCTTTACCTGTCTGGCCTAAGTAAAACATATTACATTCCTTGCAAGGAACTTTATAAATGCAACCAATTGTGTTGTTGGGGGAGTTCTTGATTAACATTTGTTTAACAGTGCATGATTTTTTAAATGCCACATTGACGTTCCAGGTTTTTAGCTGTGCAGGAATGTGTGAGAAATTTTTGTGAAATGGTAATATTAAGATATTCTTATGGTCATGGGTGGGCTTGGGGTCAGTTCTATAAAAAGTTTTCTTAGTAATGTTTAAGCATTTGTCTATGAAAGATCTGGGGTATTTAAGGTTTGAGCCAATATTATATATATATTTGTATTCCTCATCGATGAATTCCGGACTGCAAATTCTCAAGGCACGTAAAAACATTGTTGAAAATACTGACTGTTTGACTTTATTATGGTGGGCAGAATAATAATGAATGTATATATATATATATTGGGTCTAAATGGTCGTAAAATGGGAAACTTGGGGTTGGGTCTTGGGTGCCTGAATCAATTAGAATAAATCCCATAGGTTCTGTACTTTCGTTATCGGCGGGGTCCCAATTAGGCGCGATAACCAAGGGATGACTGTACTGTATATACTTGTGACAATGGCCAGTTGCTTCTTGTGTTATGGTACAGGGGTACCAAGTGACAGCACTAGGATCCCGCTTCCTCTATCAAGGAATAAACAATTAAAATTTAAATTGAAATAAAAACATTCAAATAATGGGACCTAGCAAACCGAAATGGACCTAGAGCGGGCACAGTCACGTATGCATCGCGTATTCTTATAGAATGGGCGGCCAGGCATACGTTATCTAGTGAATTTAGTCAATATTGTACAGTAACAATGGACCAAAGTGCAAACCTGTATTGTACATGTATTAAATGTTTACGCTACTAAAATTGTTATGTCTATTGCAAATATAGCTTGTTTATACAGGTATTCAAATAAATTACTATCTTACAAGAATCCCTCCAATGTAAGTTATATTCACCCAGGTCGTTTGGGTGGCAAATTATCAGAAGAGCTTAGTCACTTTTAAGTAATGATAAATAAACACGCAGGCAGGCCTTCAGCGCCAACTGTCAAATCTTATCTCAAATAAATAAACAAACAAACGCCAGACATTCTGTCACCTCACCTCCCGCCCCCCTCCCCCTGTCTTCCCACCACCCTCCTGTTCCAAGATAAAAGATTGGTGATTTCTTTATGTTTATTTTATATAATATCTCAGACTAAAGTTAGGATAATATAATTTGCATTGCTGAAATCCTTGCAAGACAGAGATTAATTTGAATATAAGCGTCATATATTTTGCTCAAGATATAAAAAATTTAGTACATTAGTGTACAATAATGTAGTACATTTTATAAAAAGTTTTTCAACTGTATTTTTGGGTAGGTTTACATAAATTTCTTCATTGATTTTCATCCATTTACATGCACACACCATACTAAAAGAAACGTAAAATAAATAAATGACCTTAGTGCAAAGCTGGAGTGACATGTACTAATTTAATTACGGTACTAAAATTGTTATGTCTAGTGCGAATTACAACATGTTTACAGTAGTACTTG